CTGCAAAAATTCAAAAATTAAAGAAGCCATAGGAATCTGATTTGTAAATTCAGATGCTTATGGGATTTCATAGTGGAGTTTTCAAAGTGGAGACACACCTGTTTATCTGATTCCAAACAGAAAAATAAACAGCGATAGCAGCTGCATTATAGTGCAACTCAAAATACAAGCCTTGGAAGTTTTGTTGAATGCTGTCAAAAAAGGCACTAGTTCAGCTAAAAAGCATAATCAATCAAATGTCTTCCTTGTTCATACATGCCTCTATTTTTAGTTGACACATAATGCTTCAGAAATGAATAACAACTAGAATTAATAGCGGAATTTGCCAAGAGTTGTATATGTTGTCAGATGGGTGGTGAGTTCTGTACATCAACATGATTTCCTGAGGAATATATGAGTGGTTGGCTATGTTCGAGCTCTGACAATTAAGTTCGCGAACTCATCCTACAAAAAGTGCTACATACATCATTACTGAATATCAACTATGATCACCTTCGAAGTACTCCCCTTGGGAAGCTATGCACCCATGCCAGCACCTAGTCCACCCTTCAAAGCAATTTTGGAACTCTTTTTCTGGAATGGCCATCAGACCTATCATCATATTACCCTTGGTGTCCTGAATGTCATCAAAATGTCTTCCTTTCAATATTTCCTTGATCTTTGGGTAAAGAAAGAATTCATTGGGGGCCAAATCAGGTGAGTAGGGAGGGTGTTCCAATGCAGTTATTTGTTTTCTGGCTAAAAACTCCCTCACAGACAGTGCCGTGTGAGCTGGTGCATTGTTGTGATGCAAGAGCCATTAATTGTTGGCGAAAAGTTCAGGTTGTCTAATTTTTTCATGCAGCCTTTTCAGCACTTCCAAATAGTAAACTTGGTTATCTGTTTATCTAATTGGTACAAATTCATAATAAATAATCCCTCTGATATCAAAAAAGGTTAGCAACCTTGTTGCAACACACTCATGAACTTAATTGTCCGACCTCGTTTGAAGGAGGTATCGAAAGAGCACACCAAGGTAAGCAGAGAGTCACAAAGTTATACCTTTGAACTCGCTGCCTTGTCCAACATGAGGGAGGTGACTCCACAGGCTGAAACCATCTGACTACAGGAATTGTGGCAGAGGTATTTCCTACTCATGGAATGTCATGGCCGCTCCCTCATTTCCCAGGCCCCTGACAGTATGCAGGGGCACGGAACACTGGATCTGGCCAATGGGTTGTGAGGACACATGTGTCACCTCTGGCCAGAAGCACTGAATTGCCTGCTCCCTCTCTCTTGCCCTGTTACAGCAACCAAAGAGGACAGGATCACATCTGATGCAGCTGCAAGACAGCTGAACCTCCACCAGTAATCTGGGCCCCTGAGGGACCAGATGGAGTGGATCCCCTCTCTGACTCACACTGGACGTGTAGCATAAATGAGAAAGAAACTTTTTGTTTGTGTTAAGCACTGAGGCCAGGGTGTCATTTGCATTGCAGCATAGCCTGGGTTATGCTGACGAATATAATGACCACAGCTAGCTCTGCCTTATTGATAATAGCTAATGCTGTTGAGGCAGCAAGCTGTAAATTCTACATGCATTACCTAATATCGCACAACAACCTCCTGAGACAATAATATTATATATTCTATGACATATATAATATATATCTATATCATACATATCAATAGTCTATACATATCATCTATATGTGGATATATATATATATATATATATATATATATATATATATATATATATCAGGAGTATATTGTGAAAGGAGGCTTACTTCCTTTCCTCTTGTTATTCCAGAAGTCGTGTCTCTCCTTCGAGCTTGGCCAGTCCCTCCATATGATATCTGGATGCCATCTCTTCCTCCCTTACAATATTGATTATTCCTTCGGTCTCCTCATTCTGTGTTTTCTCCCCTTCTATCCAGTGTGCCCCTCAGGATTCTCAACTCTTTCCAAGCTTAACAAAAGCCCTCCATCCACCTCTCTTTCTCCTCCAGTTACTATCTTCCCTCTTCTCCTAGACCATCTCCATCTCTTCTCTCCAAAGCATTCACCCTTACTTCTTTCCCTTAACTTCTCCCACTCTCTGACTACTCCAATAGTTTCCTCCTCCAGCACTCTACCAAACAGCTCTTTTCAGCACTGCTCATGATCTCTGCATTCCTAAATTCAGTGGGCATTTAGTTTTCACCTTACTTGATTTCTCAGCGTCACATGACACAACTGAACACACCTTCCTTGTTGAAACCCTATTCCATAGGCTGTCCCTCTTTAGTCACTCGATCTTCTCTTCAGCCTCAGCATTTGTTGTTGGGCCATTAAATTTGGGCCTTCATCACATCTCATCCTAACCTCACTTTTCTTCTCATTCTGTAATCACTTTCCAGTCACTCACCTAGGAGTCTTTCCTAAGGCTGCTATCACCACCTAGACCCCGGCATCTGCTAAAAATGTGCGTCCACCTGGAGCTTCTGCTCAATTGCCTGCTCAGCTCAGCACCTCCACTTCAATGTCATGAACTGTCATGTTCTCCCCCATGAGACCTACCTAACTCCAAACCCTCCTACTGCTTCCTCGGTGTTCCCCAACTCATAAATGGCGCCACCCTCCCCCTGTCTACCTAGCTTGGAAACCTGGTAGCAGGGCTACATCGATACCTTCACGAGTGCTCAGCACCAAAATGCGCTTCACTATATTTTGAAAGAAAAGAAACAAAGTAGTGCATATCATAAATATAGTAAGTCTTGAAAAATTCTGATTTTCCCATAGTGACTACAAGAATACTTTAAAAAAGAATATCCAATCCTTTGCAAAATAACTTAGGGCCCCTTCTTTGCTGTTGCTCTAAGAGCTATTTCCTACCCTGCCTAGGAGTCAATAGTCAGATGCCATTTCCTGTTGATTCTATGTCCTAATACCTAATATATTTTCAAATCTGCCTGCTTCTCTCTGGTGCCAATGCCCCGTATTCCGAGTTAGTGTGACTGCTTGTCTGAATTTCAGCAATAGTCTCTGAAACCTCCTCCCTGCTCCATTGATTCTCCACAAAGCAGCCAGGCAGAATTATTCCAGGAATACACAGAATTGGTCCTAACAATCCACTGCTTAAAAGCCCTAAATGGCTTCCCATTGCCCTCAGGATAAAATCTCAGATCCTTAACAGCCCCAAGACCCTGCCACCTGGCCATTTGCCAGTGTCACCTATTTGAGCTCCTGGAAAGAGCCAAGCTTTTTATGAGCCTTTGCATGTGATTTACTCTCTGCCTAGAGCTTTCTCACCCCTCCCATCTTCTTCAGGTCTTAGATTTAATGTACTTTCTTCACATAAGCTTTTCTTAACCTCTCACACCAAGTCAATGCTCCTTGTTAAACACTTTCATAGTAACTCCCACTTTGTTTTGTAAGTAGCTATTTGTGTATTGGATAGTTTAAGCGACCCTCCCAATTTTTTAGATTATTGTTTTTCACTTACAGTTGGCATTCAATATTAATTTATATTAGTTTCAGGTGTACAGCATACTGGTTAGACATTTATATAATTTATGCAGTGATCCCCGATTAATCTAGTACCCACCTGGCACTATACATAGATGTTGCAACATTACTGACTATATTCTCTGTGCTGTACTTTACATCCCCATGCCTATTTTATAATAAAAAAATACCAATTTGTATTTCTTAATTCCCTTCACCTTTCTCACCGAGATCCCCAACCCCCTCTCCCCTCTGGCAACCATAAGCTGTTCTCTGTATCTATGAGTCTGTTTTGTTTGTTCGTTTATTTTGTTCTTTAGAAATATTTCACATATAAGTGAGATCATATGTCAGAAAGAGAAATTAGGAAAGCTATCCCATTTACAATTGCATAAAAAAAATACCTAGGAATAAATGTAACCAAGGAGGTAAATAAGACCTGTACTCGGAAAACTATAAGACACTGAAGAAAGAAATTGATGAAGATACAAATAAATGGAAACATCCGTGCTCATGGATAGGAAGAATTAACATTGTTAAAATGTCCATACTACCCAAAGCAATCTATAGATTCAATGCAATCCCTATCAAGATATCAATGATATTTCCCCCCTCCCAATTGTAATTCAAATGCCCTGAAAAAGTCAGTAACAAGCTTCCATAGACATAGGAATTCAGGGAATCCTTGAATACAGTTTTGTCTGATTCTAGAGCCTATGCCCATAACATCTCATCCTGGAAGATGGCTTTTTGCCTCTTTGTTTTATGATGGTGAGGTGTTGATGCACTGCAAACTGTTTGCCTCCAGAAAATTATAACATCTCTGGGCAAATTCTAGAGCAATGATATTCTGCTGTTGGTGAACCTCTTTGATTATATTGCTGTCACAGACTGTACACCTCAGGACACAAGGGGGGCCATTCAGCATACAGGCTGGACTGGCAGGGAGAATTCCAGCTTTCACATTGTATAATCCACACATCTGTAAACGGGGGATAACATTAACCACTTTATAGGGCTGTAGGAGAGCTGATTCATTGAATAAAGATTTAATGAACATCTAGTATATGCCAAGTTTGTTGTTAGATGTTGGGAATACAAATGCAATTTTCGATGTTTAGCAGAGTGCCTATCTCATTTAGTTATAAATGGTCACTATCACGAGTATTATTACAGTTGTGTGTCAACGTTTGCCTGTGTCAGAGCTTGAGTGAAAGTATGTGATATTTGTGACGTCTGTCACTATCCTGACAGGGTTCCCAGCGGGGCCTTGAACTCCACCACAGCTAGCGTGGGCGCTCCCGCGCACCACTGCGCGGCGTGTCCGCCCCACCCTTCTAGGCCACCAGAGGGCGCGCAGCCTCCCCGCCCCCTCCGCTGCGTCTGCGCCTGCGCCCCACTGGCCGCCTGGCCCCGGCTCCCCCCTCCCAGCCTCCCCCCCCCGCTGCGGCGCCTGCCCGGCCCCGCCCCACGTACTTAAGCCCCGCCTTTGTTGCCCTTGGTTGCTGTTTGTTGACTTCCGGGAACGCTGTCGTCACAAATGCTCAGCGTGTCGCCATGGGGGCACGAGGGGCTTCCGGGGCTCAAGTTGGGGCTGAGTCGCTGCCTTAGGCCCCAATGAAACTACCATATCATCTTCCCGGCTCAGAGACAGTCTCCTCTTGTCACCCTTGGCATGTGGGAACCTGAGAAGGTGGTGCCCGGTGAGTCGCGCCCGCTGTGGTGGCAGCGGGCCCAGAGGGAGGGTCTGCGGAAGGACAGACAGCCAGGCCCCGCCTCCGGGCCGGCCCCGTCGGGGGAAAGGCCTGGGCCGCGGCCGCCCGACTGGGGCCGGAGCTCTGGCCGCGCTCCCGCGAATGACTGAGGGGAAAAAGGAGGGGAGGGACCTGAGGGGGAACAACAGAGAAGGGGGTGCGTGCCTTTTTTGTTGTTGTTGTTTTTAATACACTTTCGATGAGTTTCTAGAAGGCACGGGCAGTTTTTACCTCTCTCTAAACTTCCCAAAAGTACCTCCTTCGAGGTCCTCGGGATCCAGTTATGTATTTTTTTTTAAAGATTTTTATTGGGGAATTGGGGGGATGGGAACAGACAAGTTGCTGTCCTTTTGTTCTTCAGTCTAGTTGTGGAGGACGTTGCTTCACTGGCCCAAGTTGGCACCATCATTGCGCTCTTCCCGGGCGAGGCAGATCAGTCGCCGGCTTCTGGACCGCCGCTCACTGCGGCTGCCGGCCGCTCACGCTGGCTGCTGGCTACACACGGTAGCCCATGGCAATCCACTGCCACAGGGACTGCAGCCCACGCCGTCGCCGGGGACTCATGGCAGCCCCGCTCCAGGTTGAGCTGTTGTTCAGCATCTTAGCTGTGGAGGGCAGTGTCACTGGCCCTCATATGTGGGATCCGAACCGGGGCCCTCTGGCATCCCAAGCGAGTTCTTAACCATCGCGCCACTCGGCCGGCCCATCCAGTTATGTATTGAATGCCGTAAAGAGTGGGTAATAAGAGGGCTTGAGGTAAAAGAAGATGAGGAAAACGACATAGAGAAAGGGGGTGAGGAGGGAACCGTTAGCGAGTGGTTTTTAATGATTTTTTTTCCCTGAGCTCAAGAATACGTGACAAGATACATAGGTAACCACGTACCAAATGTCTAACTAAAATAGACGTTTCATGAGGCGGTCCTTATTCTGACCACTTTGGATGCGCTCCGATCTTTCCTATTACATTCCTTTAAAAGTGGTCATCGTGACCCACCAAGTTGATTTTCTGATCCACTAATGGGTCATGGCTAACAGTTTGAAAAAAAGCACTGGATTAGAGCAGAATCATGAATTCACAGAAAAAAAGTATTGCGTTTTCTGCCATGCTTTTGGCTCTAACATAGATTCCTTCCCTTCTGGGGTTCACAGCTTAGTGAGGGACACAAGAAAGGAAACAAAATGACAATACCCGACACCATTTGACAGTAGAAGACGGGGACACAGCAGAACCACCAAACCCTGACTTGGAGTGAGGCTATCAGGGAAGGTTTCCTAGGGAGCCAGAGCAGGACGAAACAGTTAAAAACTATTCATTCTAGGGAAACCCACAGCCTATTCTAGAACCTGGCCTCCCACCTCTCAATTATCAGAACTGAGATGTCTCACAATTGTTTGCAAAAGGTTTTCCTTGTGGCTACTCTCTTGCACATTAATATTTATTATTAATACTTATGTTCACTATGTTTTTCTTTCTAGTACTTATTAGTTTCTTTATGTGTGATCATCTTTGAAGTTTCCTCAAAAGTTGGATCTGGCTCCACGTGTGTGCGCGTGCAAGTGTGTGTGTGTGTGTGTGTGTGTGTGTGTGTGTTTAAATGATTATTGGGAACTGATACGGGTTTGGGGTCTCCAAATGGTACTGGACCAAACATCCTGCATCCTCATGATGCTGATGATGAAACTCAATGCTGTCCTCTTTCTATGTGTGGAGAAAAGCCCTCAGTCAAGAGTTAACTAGTGTAAGACACCAACTGTATCAGCTCATTGTGGGGAGCAGATGGTCCACCTGATGACAGCAGGACTTACTAGTAGTCAAGGATTACCCTCCTTGTGATAGTATATTTTTTACTTTGCACCAGTAACTGAATAATAGATATTTAATTTAGTAGATTTCATAAATAAAACTAGAATGAAGTCTGAGGAGTAAGACTGAATTAAGGTGGAGGAAGGAGGGCATAAATAGTGTTGTACTGGAGGCAAAGCTGTCATGAGATGAGGAATCTGAATAAATTACTGAAAAAAAATATTTTAGTAACAGGCAACATAGTAAAAGTTGTAAAATAGAAACTATCATATATTTGCAGGTTCGGGTGCTGTGTTTACATTTGGAAAAACTAAATTTGCTGAAAATATTCCCAGCAAATTCTGGTTTAAAAATGATATAGCTACATGTCTTGCATGTGGAGATGAACATTCTGCTGTTGTTACAGGTAAGTATTAAAATCCTAAATGAGGATAGTAATACTTAGAGAATCCTAAATATTATAGATGTGCTATGTTTTAAGCATACTGAAAATATATAGAAAGTGTTGGGGTTTTTTTTATTTTGCCAAAGAATTCTTGATAAATTGATTCATAAAGAGCCTTTTAAATTTTAAGTTCCCTTAGTATGTGTAAATACAATTTTATACACACAACTTTTTTGAATAAATCTATTTTAATATATCTATATAATCAAAAAACTGTTACCATATAATCTTAGAAATTCCTTTACATCTAACAGAATCTGGCTAACCTGTTTCAACATGGAAAACAATGGCACCTTTTAAGTATAGCATTTTTGTTGCTTTGTGATGACTTCATCTCACATTACTTTATGTTGAAAATGCTTCATTTTATTATTTCTTTTTCCTCTCCACCAGGAAAGAATAAACTTTACGTGTTTGGCAGTAACAACTGGGGCCAGTTAGGATTAGGATCAAAGTCAACTGTTAGGAAACCAACGTGTATCAAAGGTTTGGGGTCTTCTTTATCACTTTAAATGCATAACAAACTATATAAAGTACTTTTCATCGATTGTGTAGTCCTTTAATGTCATATTATAAGTAATAAAGCCTTTAGTTCTTTATTTTCTGATATTTACTTGAATATTATTGGCATTTCACTTTATTTTTTATATGATACTTAGAACTACTTTTATATGTTAGGGCCTAAAAATCACATTGATTTTAAACCCAGAGGCCACAAAGGAAGTAATGATTCTATAGTATTGAACTTGAACATTTTTTTCCCTTGTTTGTAAATCTACTTAAATATTACTGTCTTTCTATATACATAGAACAAACAATATAATGTTAGAATTTTGAGCTCTGTCTCATTTGTTAGAGTTGTAGACATCATTGTTCCTTGCTGTTGCTGGTTTTATTATTATTTCTTTTATTTATTTTTTTTAAGCTGAGCCATCCTGCCGCCTGTTGACAGGTCAGCGGCTGCTCAGCTCGGGCCAGGAATCGAACTGCTATTACTCAGAGCTCAAACTCTTGAGCGAGCGCTTAAACAACTGAGCCACTCGGCTAGCCCTTGGTTTTATAAAACACATTTGACCCTGCTGTATCTAGTGAGTAGATGTACTGAACAAAACACCAAGACCAGTGGTTAATTAGTACTAGTGTTCTTACAAGAACAATAGGACAAATATTTTAAATCAGGACTGTCCCAGAAAATAGGGGATGTATAATATCTTTACAAAGCTTTCTCGCTGTTATGTGTAAAGCTTCTGTATAGATATAACCTATGAACATCAACCAAACTTGAATGGCAATGGAGATTCCTTGGGATATGACAAGAGCAGTACTTTATCTTCCTGGCTAAAATTTTAATTTCAGCTTGAAATTTCAGTGTAATTTATCATACCCATGCTATTTATAGGTGTTGTTATGGAACTTTTAAAGTACTGTACTTGGTCAAAAAGTATTTATTGGGCACAGTCTACTAAACTGTTGGGTATATTCATGGTACCTATAATTCTTCCTCTCAAATATCTTATCTAATACACAAGCTTACAGAATTGTTTAGAGTACAAGATCCTTGAGACCAGGGATTCTGTCTTAGTGATCTTTGCAGCTGCTGTGCTAAGCACTTCGGAGGTGTTCTGTAAAGGATTTTCTTTCTTAATTATTCATTTATTTATTTATTTATTTAAGGAGGGCACAGCTCACAGTGGCCCATACGGTGATCAAACCGGCAACCTTGGCATTATTAGCACCACACTCTAAACAACTTAGCTAACCAGCCACCCCTATAAAGGTTTTTTAAATGTGTAAATGAATAAATGAAGAACTTTAACATAGATGTATGCCTATGAATATTGGACTTACAGTCTTTCATTGAGTGAGGTAAAAGGTGAACTTGATGATGGTGATAGCAGATTGGGTGATAGAACAGGTTGGTAAGGAGGCAGTATAACAGAATGCAATGGATCTCAGCACATATTACTTACTTTTGGAGTTTTTAAAAATATATGGATGTCTAGGCCTTAGCTTAGACCTACTGACTCACATTCCCCAGGATGGGTCTGAGTTATCTGTATTTTTCTCAGAGATCCACTGGTGATTATGATGCACAACTAGTTCTGAGAACTTTTAGTTTAGTAGTTTGGAAGTCAACTTTGGAGTCAGACAGGCCTGGGTTTCATTTACAGTTCTACCACTTAGTTATCATTTGACCTGTATTATTTATCATTTTCACAACCACAAAATATTTTAATTGTCATATTTTTAGACTTAAAGCCTGAAAAGGTGAAATTGGCTGCCTGTGGTCGGAACCACACCCTCGTCTCAACAGGTACGGTATTCAATCTGTATGACTTCCTACCCAATGTGAGGACTGAGGTCTTGCTCCAGTACATTTGTGGCTTTGTAAAATTAATAATAATTGTACCTTGGCAACAGTAAGATTAGGATTTTAAAAAAATGTAAGTGGTTACTACACTTGTTTGCCTTTGAAAATATGCAGATAAATGTTAAATGGCTGAAGAAAAAGCTTTGTTTTCTTGGATTATGTCAAGGGATAGCATCTCCTTACCTGTGTGCACACCTCAGGGGCTGGTTGTTGCTGATCCTGCTCTTCGCTCTTCTTTTCTGAGAGTGAGTGGGAGCCACCCCACCCTCAAATCAACCCTATTGATGTGAGTCAGCACAATTTCAATACAAATCCAAACAGAGGGCCGGCCGAGTGGCTCAGTTGGTTAAGAGCACGCTCAAGAGTGTGAGCTCTGAGCAACAGCGGTTCGAGTCCCGGCCCGAACTGAGCTGCCGCTGAGCTGCCAACAGGTGGCAGGATGGCTCAGCAAAAAAAAAAAATTCCAAACAGCGTGTGTGTGTGTCTGTCTGTGTCTGTGTCTGTGTCTGTGTGTGTTGGGGGGATGTGTATGTAGAAATTGACAAGGTGATTCTTAAGTTTATATGGGAAAGCAAATGACCTAGAATAGCAAAACAGTTTTGAAGAGAAAACTGGAGAGCTAGCACTATCTGATTTTAAGACCTACTATAAAACTACAGTAATCAAGACAGTGTGCTATTAGCAGAAAGATAGACAAAGATTAATAGAGCATAATAGAGTCCAGAAATACACCCCAATGTATGTGCCCAACTAGTGTTTGACAAAGGTGCCAAGATAATTCAATGGAGAAAAGGTAGTCTTGTCAACAAATGCTGCCAAAACAGACACCTGACCACTGAGCAGTCCTTACCTCCTTTCCTCCCCACACAGCTTCGTTTGTCTCCAGGCTCTACTCACTGCCTTGGCTCCTCCTCACCTCTCTGCTTGAATTCATACCATTCCCTTGCTGAAATGTCTTTTCACTCACTCAGATTCTTATCTTTTAAGATGCAGTATATGTTTTACTTCTTCCATGGAGATTTTTGTGACCATTCATCTTTTTACGCCTGTGGTTCTCTGAACTGCTTTAAGCATTTCACCAACTCTGGTTTGCTCCATATGTGTTAAATGGTGTAGTCCAATTCCATGTGGCCTTGTAGTATCTTCCATTTGAAAGCTAGTCTTGTTTCCTCAGTCAGGTTTCATTTTTTAAAAAATATCTAATTTTAAATTTTTACTGATTCAGGCTGATTTTGCCCTCAGTTTCCCCTATAATTTAGCAAGGCTTTACCTTCATGTGCACTTTTATGATAGATATCACTAGTTTTTAATATGTATATGTTTTAAAAAGTCTTCATTACTTTAGAGCTTACTAGCAATGTTTATTATCTAGGCATGATATACTTCTTAATTAAGAAAATAATTAACAAACATTTATATAGTGCCTCCAATGAGCCAAATGGTGTTCAAAGAGTTTTATAAATGTTTACCAATTTAATCTTCGTAACAGCTCTAAGTAGGCACTATTATTATCCCTGTTTTACAGATGAGGAAAAGGAGACACTGAAAGGTTAAGACTAGCTTGCCCAAGGTCACACAAGCCAGAATTTGCACCCAAGAAGTCTAGCTGTGGAGTCCTCTCTCCTAAACACAATGCTATACTGCCTTCCTAGTTAGCTAGAAAATTAAAAAACTTAAACAATATAGACTTTTCATGTTTCTAATTATGTTCTTCTTGGATTTGCCTCATTTTACTTATTTGTTACCTATTATATCTTAGCTTTAATGGGTATGGAAGTTAAAATTAATGAACCATATCACTTTTAAAATAGTTTGATTTGGATTGTAAACTAATTTGGAAATTACTTTCCTCTTTTCTGCTCTGAATTAATTGAGTGTTGCATGAGTAAGAAAATACATTCCACACATTCTGTGCATTTCAATTGTTACTGGAACTCTAGAATAATTTTTTAAATCTCACAAAAATGTATATATAACCTTGCTTGTTTTGCTTTTTTTTTATGATGATGGAATAAAGTTTTGTACCAAATTGTGGTATAATGTCAGCTTTCAACTTTCTTCACTGTTAATAGAGGAAATAGCTGGTATACATTGGCCTGTCTCATAAAGATGGTGACTATAGTATACTGATGTTTTCTTTTCCATGTGCAGAAGGAGGCAGAATATATGCAGCTGGAGGAAATAATGAAGGACAGCTAGGGCTTGGTGACACTGAAGACAGAAATACTTTTCATCTAATTGAATTTTTTGCATCCCAGCATCGGTTTAAGTTTAAACAGCTCTCTGCTGGATCTAACACTTCAGCTGCACTAACTGGTGAGATGTTTTTGCATTTCAAGCTGGGGCCTTTCCTTTAGACCAGGATATTACCAACTCAATAAATTGAAGACAGCATTGCAATTTTGTTTTCTTTCATTGACCATTTGTTTTCAGGATGCATTTAAAATAGAGCTTTAAATCATGACATATGTTATAATTGTATGCTTATTTAGATGTAAACATACATTTTGAAGGTAATTGTTAAATAAATTCTCAGCTATGCTGTCTACTTATTTTTGTTAAATATCTTCATCATATGTTCTGAAAGTTATACTTGCAGTTTTAATGAAGTTGCTATCAGAAACATCACAGAAATCTGTTGGATATATGTTGTTAAAATACAGTTTATAGGGCCGGCTGAGTGGATCAGTTGGTTAAGAGCTCGCTCAAGAGGTTGAGCTCTGAGCAACAGCGGTTCGAGTCCCAGCTCGAGCTGAGCAGCCGCTGAGCTGCCAACAGGTAGCAGGATGGCTCAGCTTATTAAAAAAAATACAGTTTATAAGAGTCATTGCATCTCTCTACCTCCCTATCAAAAGCCTACATGAGAAACAACTTTAACATTTGGAGCCAGGATGAACCTGGTCTCATTGAGGAAGCTGCTGGTGTGCTTCTTTGTCCCAGTCTCGAGAACTATTGCTCTGGCTGCCAGAAGCTGGAGTCGGCTCCATGTCTCCATCCTTTCAATCTGTCAGCAACATACAGTTAGCATTTTGACATTTCTCTCTTGGTTCTTATTTTCAATTTGCCTTTTATTTGCCTTATTATTAAATTGTTTCAAAGATTAAATTTTAAAAATTGATTACGAGGAAAATAAATAAGTCTAGATGATTTCTTTCCACAATAATTTTCCTAGGTTAGCTTTTGCTGACATCGAAACCCTGATCAAGAAAGAACACAAGTTACCCTGTATTTGAGATGCTATGTATGCTAATATATCTCCTTTTTCTCTGAAGCTAGATTACAAGTTTCAAGTATAAATTGTAAAACAAAAAAGGGGGGATATACACTTATTTTATTTTTTTTCTTTCTTTAAAGCATTTCCACAGTGTTCTCAGAGCCAGCTCTTCCAGGCCATGGTGACCTGGGACTTGTCATTCAGCTCAGAGTGCTCGAAAGGAGGAAACCATTTGTATTTAGACACATTAAAATAAGAAAAGGTTATTATAGGAAAGGACATTCTGTCTTGGCTATTGAGATAAAAATATGGACATGACTAAAGTGATTTACATCAGGTTATTCTCTGTCCTTTATCATTACAGAAGCATTTCATAATAGAAATTGAACTCTTAAGTAGCTAGCTGGTATAAGTGTCTTAGTAGCACTTTCTTTCAAGACACATAATTTTTTAAATTGAAAAATAAATGGGCTGTTGGAAATATAATTACTTGATAGCCCTGCCACTGTTTAAAACTTTTTTTTCTCCTTGTTTTCTTTATAGAGGATGGAAAGCTTTTTATGTGGGGAGACAATTCTGAAGGGCAAATTGGTTTAAAAAATGTACCTAATGTGTGTGTGCCTCATCAAGTGACCGTTGGGAAACCCATCATCTGGATCTCTTGTGGATATTACCATTCAGCTTTTGTAACAAGTAAGACAGAATATTTTGGATTCATCATGTTATCTCCCATTTCTATGTTATTACTAAATTAGTAATAAAATGATAGAACATTCTACAGTTCCATACAAATAATACCATGGTAGTACTTATAATGAAATAATTTGGTCTGTTTTAGGTCACAGTATTTCTCCATTTCAATAATGAGAGTTTATAATTTCAAATTCCCTGATGTTAACTTTTTACATGAATATTAGGTATATTAGAAAAAAACAAAATTTATATCTTCAAAACCCTTCTAAGTTTCTTGGACTCTTTTGGCATGAAAAACAAGACCTGTGAGCTGCTTTCCTCTGGATCCACTTGACCCTGTACTTTCACCTATTCTACTCATGTCCTGATAATTTTCTTCTATTGTTTCAATAAGTGAGGCATAGACTTTCATTGTGGGAACAGGAGTGAAGACAAGATGGAAAAGAAGAGAGGTCAGTATGGGATATGATTTCTTTGGCGGGACTTTTCTCAGCATCCTCAATGTCTCCCTTTCCTGGGCTCACTGGCAACTTTTTCTACCTTGGTCAAAATATTTGAAATGTTGGACTTTATTATAGTCTACATCTACACTAGTAATAATAGGAGAAGTATAATCATGGCTTTCCATCTTATTGATGGTTTTTCTAACAGTAATAACACCTACAGGAAATAGTTTTGTGGCCCCTCTTAGCCATCTCTCTAAATCTCATTTTAAATTTACTCTTTATTCCACACACCTCAGATTCAGTTTTGGAAAGTGCCAATTGACTCATCCCAGTGCTCCCCAGGTTTACCAGTTAACTGGTAGCAGGTTGGTACCAAGAGAGGGCAAAGTCCAGCTTGGTTGGTATTGTTCACCACTGTATCAGCTTGTGTCTTAAACAAACTGATAATCAGTAAATATTGTCTAGTGAGGGAGGGAGTGAATGAATGACCAACTGATTGTGTTCCTTGGGGCAATACCACCTACGAACTTACTAGTAACTTTAGGGCTCCTGGGGTGGTTGTAGTCTATGCTCACTTTGTTCATAAAGCAAAACACAAAGGAAAAACAAACAAACAAAAATCTCAAGCAAAAGCATTGTCCTATTTGGGTTCTAATAAAACTGCCAGAATCATTTTTATGACTAAGCTCTGCTTTAGCCATAGGGGAACAAGTGGAATTGTTCATCTTAACCAATGTGTTAAATTGCTCTTTTTTGCTTTGTTTTTTGTTACATGCCTTAAAAAAACACAGCTTTATTGAGATATAGCTCACATAGCATACAATTCACCCATGTTGAGGTTCAAGGAGCAGCATGAATTTCCAGACAGAGGTGGAATGAGATTCATGTGGACTTAGTAACTCATTTCACATGCGAGGCAAGAGGCATGGGAAAAGGCAGGTGCTGCCTTACTGAGCACCTCTAATGTGCTGCTGTTTGCTAAACACTTCTTAGAAAACTGGGATCGAGAAAACTTCATTTTCTGTACAGATCAATCCAAAAAATCAGTATAGTTATGTTTGTAGTATTTGACCAATTTTTTTTATTAAAGTATAGTTGGCATACAATATTATATTAGTTTCAGGTTTGACCAAATTATAAGTGGTACATACCAAGTGTGTTGGAGGTCCCACAACTTCGCTAAGTTCTGTGATTTGCTAGAAGGACTCTTAAGCTTCAACAGCAGGTTATACTCACGGCTAAGATTTATTACAGAGCAAAAGCAACAGGAAAAAGATGTGTATCGGCGGAGTCCAGAGAAGTCCGGCATGGGTTTCCTAGTCCTTCATCTTCCCAGGCCACACAGGACATGCTTTCTCTTTGGCAGCAAATTTTAGGGACATATGTGTAATATCTCTGCCCAGAAAAGCCCACGCTAGTCTCGGGGTCTGAGGCTTTTATGTGGGGTGCAGGTCATGTAGACACATCCTGCTAGCAACTGGCCGCAGCATCTCAATCTCAGGTCCCTCAACAGTGAAACCAGGTGTACCTCATCAATGTTGATGTTTCTGCCAAGCACCTCTAAGAAGCTCAGATGGCATAATTCATTGCTCCAAGTGTATACACCAAAATCATCAATCACTAATGTAAAGAACACTCCAAGGGCCATATTCCCAGTGGTTGCTCAGGGATCAATCATAGTTCTTTTGGAGACGTGCAGTTAATCAGCAGCAAGACCTGCTGTGTTACTTCTTTCCTCACACCAGTGGTGACATGTTCTGTGTCATTCTTTAAATTATATATTTGCAAAGGTTTTTAAATTGCTGCTTTATAGAACTCAGTTCAGTTCATAAAAATGAATAGATAAATTCTATTTTCAAGAAGCTCATGGTCATATTATGGGAAGTATAATAACAGAAGCAAGTCAATAGTGTTGGTATGGACAAGGCGGTGATGAAATGTCAGTGGTTCCTTGATAAGAGAGCCTTCCTGGAGGAAGTACCATCTAACTGAGTAAAATCTATTATCTTAAGACTATACCCCATATTTACTCACACATAAGTTAGTTTTCTGAAACAAGTGTAAAAAAAGCAATTATCGGGCCGGCCGAGTGGCGCGATGGTTAAGAACTCGCTTGGGATGCCAGAGGGCCCCGGTTCGGATCCCACATATGAGGGCCAGTGA